GAGTTCTTATCAGCTGTGTTGTCGCGCGAGTTCTTATCAGCTGTGTTGTCGCGCGAGTTCTTGTCAGCTGTGTTGTCGCGCGAGTTCTTGTCAGCTGTGTTGTCGCGCGAGTTCTTGTCAGCTGTGTTGTCGCGCGAGTTCTTGTCAGCTGTGTTGTCGCGCGCGTACTGAATAGCGGTGTTGTCGCGCGCGTACTGAATAGCGGTGTTGTCGCGCGCGTACTGAATAGCGGTGTTGTCGCGCGCGTACTGAATAGCGGTGTTGTCGCGCGAGTTCTTATCAGCGGTGTTGTCGCGCGAGTTCTTATCAGCTGTGTTGTCGCGCGCGTACTGAATAGCGGTGTTGTCGCGCGAGTTCTTATCAGTTGTGTTGTTGCGCGCGTACTGAATAGCGGTGTTGTCGCGCGAGTTCTTGTCAGCTGTGTTGTCGCGCGAGTTCTTGTCAGCTGTGTTGTCGCGCGAGTTCTTGTCAGCTGTGTTGTCGCGCGAGTTCTTGTCAGCTGTGTTGTCGCGCGAGTTCTTGTCAGCTGTGTTGTCGCGCGAGTTCTTGTCAGCTGTGTTGTCGCGCGAGTTCTTGTCAGCTGTGTTGTCGCGCGAGTTCTTGTCAGCTGTGTTGTCGCGCGAGTTCTTGTCAGCTGTGTTGTCGCACGCATACTGAATAGCGGTGTTGTCGCGCGCGTACTGAATAGCGGTGTTGTCGCGCGAGTTCTTATCAGCTGTGTTGTCGCGCGAGTTCTTATCAGCCGTGTTGTCGCGCGAGTTCTTATCAGCTGTGTTGTCGTGCGCATACTGAATAGCGGTGTTGTCGCGCGAGTTCTTATCAGCTGTGTTGTCGCGCGAGTTCTTATCAGCTGTATTGTCGCGCGCGTACTGAATAGCGGTGTTGTCAGCACACTGTTCAGATTGATGCAGACATTGACTTGTACCGCAAAGAGACCTCTATCTCACTCATGGTTTGTCCTCTCAAGTGGGGGAAAGACAATGCACAACGTTACCCACTGCTGTCAACCTGGGCCAAGTCATATCTCTCTGTCCCAGAAACCTCAGTCCCAAATGAGAGGGTTTTTTTCTGTTGCAGGGGACATTGTAAATACCCAGAGATACCAGCTTTTACCAGATTATACTTATATGATAATTTTCCTTAAAGCCCATCTCTATCTAAGTAAGTGAGTGAGTGATTAAATGTTGAATGTGATGAGTTTTCAACAACAATAAATTGAAACTTTATTTTTTTTACATGGTTTAATATTTTTTTGTTATTAAAATTGAAGTTCCTGTTTCAAAGCTTACAGATAGATGGCTAATTTGTATGTCATTGACACTTTTGGCACTTTTTTGGAGTATTTTCATAAGTTTTGTTTTTTCCTGTAAATGATTCAATAAATACCGTACCGTGACATTCATATCGAGGTATTACCGTATCGTGAAATTCTGATATACGTCACTCCCCTACTTATTATATATATATATATATATATATATATATATATA